TGTCTAGAGTAATTTTTGCTTATTAGTATGGTTGAACTGGATCATCGAAGGTCAGAAGCAAAGACATTGGTTAATAGAATGGGATTAAATACATAAAGGATATTTGTGTTGTTTAACATTTAATTATTGCAGGTTTGCGTCATATTCTGAGTTGCATTATTTTTATTCATTTTGAGGAATACTGAATCTGTTTGTTTTTTTTCTGTGAGTGAGATGAATTAATGCATATTCATATTTATTTTAGAACTACAGTAACATCTTGAACAGATTTCTCTCAACATGGGGACAGGAGAGCTGTCAATCAATAAATTGGAAAAAAAAGTAACTTGCGTTACTTATTTGAAAAAGTAACTCAGATATTCTGTTGTAAATTAAAAAGTAATGCGTTACTTTACTAGTTATTTTAAAAAAGTAATCTGATTACGTAACTCGCGTTACTTGTAATGCGTTACCCCCAACACTGGTCATTACTCTCACCCAATCACTGATAATAGTATTAAAAGTAGGAAAATGTTCTATTAAAGTTTTTTTCTTTTCCTCCCCGTTCAGTGCTGATGATTTATGAAATATCCTTCAGTGACGAAACCGAGAGAGCTGTCTATCTAGTGTTGGGCATCAAAGCGTGTTCCGAATCAACTGCACGCGCCTGTAACACTCAAAAATGCCGTCTAGGTAGGTTTTGAGACAAACCAGAGACTGACAGCTGTTTGTGCTTGCGAATAAAACAGAAACCTTACCTCGGTTATCTTCATCCATGTTCATTCTGCGAAGGGATTTGATGTAAATAACGTCCTAGTCTTAGATTACTACCCTTATAATATAACACCGGTCTGTGAAAAACAAAATTAAATCATATTAGGATACACACTGAGCTCATCGTAACCCAGTTCAGGGGCTGTTCTAAATGTCATTCGCATAATCCATAAATTGCTGCATAGATGAACATAAATCCTGGTGAAATAAATGAATATGCAGACCGCTCTCCGCCAGCTCCCATTCGCCTTCATCCATAGAACGACTAGTGAGAAGAAACAGCTTCATTTAGCCAACGAATAGAGGCTCCGCCCATCACCATAATCTATGAATATATGGCTGATACTAAGTGATTGCATCCTGGTCTTTGCCTAATCTAAATAAATCAAAGACCATAAGAATAAAATGAAAATATTAAAATAAAAATCCGACAGAATGCATTGTAATTTCCTATTTCTAATGTAGGCTATTGCTGTTAGGTGCACGAAAAGCATGAAAAAAGATTAAAGCATGTTTTGATTACTTTGTAATTATATAATATGGATAATGTCATTTAATTTGATTAATATTACACGATTATAAAAAAAATATCATTCATAAAGCATGTATCATTATTTCTTCATTGATGTATATATGGGGAAGTCGTGGCCTAATGGTTAGAGAGTCGGACTCATAACCCAAAGGTTGTGGGTTCGAGTCTTGTACCGGCAGGGATTGTCGGTGGGGGGAGTGAATGTATAGCGCTCTCTCCCACCTTCAATACCACGACTGAGGTGCCCTTGAGCAAGGCACTGAACCCCCAACTGCTCCCCGGGCGCTGCAGCATAAATGGCTGCCCACTGCTCCGGGTGTGTGTTCACAGTTTGTGTGTGTTCACTGCTGTGTGTGTGCACTTTGGATGGGTAAATGCAGAGCACTAATTCCGAGTATGGGTCACCATACTTGGCCACATGTCACGTCACTTTTGTATTTCTTATAATAAGTTCTACTGAATATAAGAGACCTGTTAACAGGCCTAATGAGGTAATATGCAATATCCTGAACTTCATATGCAAGAATGATGTCAGCATTAGGGTGGAGAATCCCAGGTTCCTACAGAGACTGTACAGTGTACAGGAACTTGCCTGTTTTTCCGGACACCACATGTCAGCCAGTATTAGTCAGACTATTTTCCAGGTAAGCTGAGGCCATTATCCCGCCAAAATGTCTAACCTTTTGTGTCATGAATTCCATCTTGAGTGCAATGTGTTTTGCGGCTTTCCAAAGAATCATGCAAAATCCATTCAACAGCTCATGAAAGTCATTGTCCCTTTGAAACAAAAACATCCTCTGATGTTTCACTTCATTAGCATGGATTTAAATGCCCCATTATTACTTCACAGCAAACAGGTTTTGTATTTTGCTGATGGCATCATTCAGTCAAATAAACTTAGACTCCCTCAGTCCTATGAAACTGAGAGAGTTTTGTCTCTGTGTCTCTAAAACTGACATCTAAAATATTTAAGTGATCCCATCTGAGGATGTTATGTAAGGTATAACTGGATATGAGGAAATCAAAAGAGCAGAATGTAATGTTCTGTGACCGCAGCACACAGCCAGGCCCTGTGCGTGAGGGAAAGACTATGAAGTAGGTGCAGGGAAAACAGGGGCTTCAGGGTGGGAATGACATCCTGTGTGGGAAACAGATATCCGCTGAAGCTCAGGAAGAGAATGTTGTTTGCATTTTTCCTTTTTTCGAGGGCAAAAAAACTCTCCCATGAACTTCACTTGTAACACCCAGCTCACTCTTAGACCAAACAAAGATGCATTTGATTCAATAATACAGCTCTGATGCCGAATTGACTAATTAATGTCAATCTCTGTCAAAACAGCTGACAACAGGTTGTTTGTAGAGAACCTCTTTAGCCAGTCTACAATAGAGTGGAAACCTGGGATCTGTAGATTAGTATGAAACAGAGTTTACTTAAGCAATACATTTTTGCATTGATAAGATGTACGCACCACACCACCAGATAATAGTAATGACCATCCATCCATTCATTCATATGTATATTACAGAGAGAGAGAGAGAGAGAGAGAGAGAGCGAGAGAGAGAGAGAGAGAGAGAGATACTCAATTTGCTAAATGTTTAGCATTATATGAACGCTATTGAATGAAAACAAAAGAAGTCCCACTTTTTTCTTTTTTTTTTTTAACAATTTGTTTATTGAGAATTAACCAATTTTGCCAGTATGGTATACAGAAAAAAATGGGTTAAATCTCTTTACATATTAATAATACTAAAAGAAAAACAACAATTAACATAAAGAAAGGGAAGAAAGAAACAAAGCACAGGTCAGTTCAAAACACCACTCAATAAGAGAACTTGGGGATACTAGCCATGCATACCTGGGATACAAATAAAACAACAAGGGGTAATTTAGTAAAAACAGTAAATGAATAAATGACAGACAGCTTAATAATAAATTGTGGCTGAAGGTGATAAAAGAATCAAGTATTTATCAAAGTAATTTGATTCTTTGATCTTTCTCCCTCCTTCATTATATTACAAAAATCTGAACATGAAATAAAGGATATAAAGGGTTTCCAAATATTTTAAAATAAAGTCACTTTACCTTTCAGAATATATTTAATCCTTTCCATTGACAAACATGTTGTTGATCCACTGTATAATGGGTGGTTTTTCTACTTTCTTCCCATGCCATTAGACACTTTGCTTGTATTATACATATTTCAAAAAGTTTCCGAGTGCTGCTATACAATATTCTCAGGAAAAATTCCCAAAAGAAACATTTCTGGGTTCATTGGAAAATGTACAGATACCATCTTAAAAATAAGTTTTTAAGATGGTATCTGTAAATTTTCCTCTCTCCAAAACTCCTGCACCTGTGAACAATCCCACGTACAGTGCAAAATTGTCCCACTTTTTAACTTTTATAGACTGGCAGGTTTAAGAGCAAGACAATGTCACTGCATATCCTCTGGAAGCCACTTGCACATGTTTGCTGGTAGAAGCTGATAGCATAGACAATGGACATAACCTTCATAGATGTTTACATAAAGACCCCACATACAGTGAGTGGTGCCAACATGCAAATTAGTAAGATGCTGTCTCATGGCTTTTCATGATAGCATTGGTTTAAATTTTAACATCCACATCATATTGAATGTTGTTCCCTTTGTTATAAACTTGATTTTGCATTCTGCTGTTTATTACCAGCTTGCGTGCTATGGAAGTAGTACCTATGGTAGTATCAAGTATCTTCAAATATTCTGTAATGGTACATAAATGCAGTCTCTTTCAGTAGTATATACCATGCACTAAAGTATTACTATTTTAAATCATAACTGCTTTAATACTTTTAGGTTGCTTGTTTGTGTAAAGAGTATTTACACCTGTATTTTGAGATGTAAAATGTATTTTGAGATTTGTTTACACTGACCAAATTCTGCTGTCGTGACAGTTTTCAACCACATTGGGTTTGTAGTGTACATGCTTTTGCATTAAATTTCTGTACGTTTAAACAATGCTGAAAGTCCATATGCTCAACTCACAAGAGTTTGATATCAACATGGATGATATCAACAGTGACACAGATCATCTAAAGTTACACTAAACAACATTTTTTACAAGCATGTTCTATTTTCTGTGGTGTTTTCAAAAAAGTAGCTCAGTTTGTTTGTAAAAACATGTCATTTAATTCTCTGCTCCCTCAGCAAAAAAGCATTTTTGTAGCTGTAGCACTCAGCTTTATAGTATTCCACAATGTAAGAGTAAGGAAGAGCTTAAAACTAAAGTGGTGGATAAGCAGCAGTCGATGAAAGACTATTAAGAGACATCTTCATCATCTTTATCTCAATGATGAATTGGTTTTTAATATTAGATCACGTAGCAATAGTAATTAACAAAATTGTCATAGCCAAAAACATGACATACTGAAAAACAAATAAAAAACAAACAAGGGACAGTCTGGAAAACTTCATTCAAAAGCACTACGTTTAGAATCAGTTGTCAGATACCAACACACTAGACAACATTATCTTTTATAGTTGTAACAGCTTTCAGGCAATTCTACTACTCTCCTGTAGTAATGTAGCCTGTCAGATACCAAAAGATGTAAAAAATGCCCACATGTGGCTGTGGGAAGAAAAGCAACCATGTCAAGCAAATTATCACTTTCAATGAGCTACAAACAGAGAGAGAATAAGGAAAATATATATTTAGAGTTCTATTATAATATATATTTATTAATTATAATTAATCTGGTGTTGGCGACCGTTGTAGCAGAGCTTCCTAGAGGTTCAAGACAGCCGACTGGGTTCCAGAGCACCCTGGTTGCCCACGTCATGCTGCCTCATTTCCAAAGGCCTCGTCTCATTTTCTTCAGTCCCAGAGCTTCTTTTCCTACCAATTCTGCTCCAGTGGTTCCTGTCAAGGCAATTTCTTGTCACCATTGCACCAGAGGTTTTTTGGCTGCCAAAATGTTTCTCTCATAGCCACAGAACCAGCTTCCATTCATGAGTTCCTTGTCATGACAGCTTTCCTTCTTGTCTTGGCAGTTTGTGTTGTGGACAACAAGGAAGAGGAGCTCTTTGCTATGGATGTCTCAGTACACACTATGAACAAAACATAAAGCAAGTTTATGTGTTGAAAAATATATTTTTCTTTGTCTTTGAAGCAATTTAAGAATAGCGGTCATACAGTCTTAACATCTGAATCCATGCTGCTATTAAAGCAAAAATGTTAACAATTATTAAAAAATATTTTTTAAAGCATTAGGCTATTTAAAGTGAATTGAAGTCCATTCATGTTTCAATAAAAAAAATGAGCAGTGACCACGCACATTAAAACTGCACTAAGTTGCCTTTTCTATATTAAGAAGATTTATCCCTTTAAAGAAATTACTTGACAAATCAGTTTTTGATGACTTGAGTCAAATAAGGGGTCTGGGCCTTAGAAGTATCATGACAACATTGACATGTCTCTCACTCCATCTACTGGTGAGTCTACATAAATGCATCAGGTTCATTTTAATGTAGAGAGTGTTTAGTATCGGGGCAGTGCTGGTTTTGAGTATTCTTCAAGCAAAAGCTTTTGGTCGGGGTGGGCAAGTCTGGCCCTTGAGATCCACTTTCCTAAAGAGTTTAGTTCCAACTCTAACCATAGCAAGCTAATGAAGGTCTTCAGGATTACTATAGGCTGTGTCCAAAATTGCCCCCTATAACCTTATGGGCACAATTTGAGGGGACACCCATGGTGAACATTACTGAAT